GGTTTTCCTTTGTTTTTGAATAAATTCACACTAGAATCATAAGGAGGACTCAACGGATCATCATCACACCCAAATTTTCTAAGAATTTTCTCAACATAGTACTCTTGAGATAGTATAATGCCATTTTCATTTTTTGTTTTCTTAACACTCAAAATTACTTTTACTTCACCCAGGTCTTTCATATCAAAATTAGAAGCAAGGAAATGTTTAGTTTCAAACACAACATCTAGGCTAGTACCAAAGATAAGCATGTCATCCACATACAAACAAAAAACCACACAGTCATTGTTCACAAGTTTGGTATAGACACATCTTTCTAGCTCAACAGTAGAGAAACCATCATTAGTTAAGACTTGTTCCAATTTTTCATCCCACTGTTTAGATGCTTGTTTCAAACCATATAAGGATTTCACAAGTTTACAAACTTTGTTTTCTTGCCCAAGAGCAATACACCCTTTAGGTTGTACCATATAAAGCTCTTCTTCTAAATCACCATTCAGAAAATTTGATTTAACATCCTTTTGGTAGATAAAAAGCTTATAAACCAAAGCTAACGCAATAAGAATTCTTATGGAAGAAATTCTCATTACTGGAGAAAAGGTATCAAAATAATTAACTTTTTTTTTTGTGTAAAAGCTTTTGCTACTAGCCTTACTTTATACTTATTGATAGAACCATTAGAAAAATATTTTTCCCCTTAAAAACCCATTTGCAATCAATTGGTTTTGCTTCTAGAGGCAAATCAACTAAAACCCAAGCTTTGTTTTATTTAAAGAATCAATTTCAGCTTGAATTAGTTCTTTCTAAAAAGATGCTTCTAGAGAAGAGGTCAGCTCATAAAAGTTTATGGGTTCATCTTATACTAAATAAGTGTCAAAATCATCCTAAAGGAGATTTCTTTTCTTTGCCTTTTACTTTTTTTGTTGGTAAGCTTTTTGCTACATTTTTATTTGAATTTTGCTCAGAAGAATTTTCAACAACTTTAGAAATATGTCCAGCTTTCAAAGGAAAAATATGTTGAAAAAACTTTGCATTTTAGTTTTAATAGTGGTGTTTTAACCCAAAACATCACTTTTTAAAACTATAAAATGACAAGCTGTACTTTGCTGGGCATATCCGATAAGCAAACAATCAGTAGTTTTAGAACCTATTTTTTGCTTTTTAGAGTCAAGTAATAAAATCTTTACAAGGAACCCCCACAATTTTAAATAATTAAGATTTGGTGCAGATCCTTTCCCTGACTCATAAGGAGTCTTATTTGTTTTCTTATGAGATATTCTATTTTGTAAAAAATAACCAGACAAAATGGCTTCACCCCATAAGTTATTTGATATAGCAGAACTTATAAGTAAATAATTCATCATTTCTTTTAAAGTTCTATTTTTTCTTTTCCACAACACCATTTGACTCTTATGAATACAAAGGGGTCACTTCATGAATAATTCCCTCTTTTTTGACAAAAATCATTTAATTGCAGAAATTCTCCTCCTCTATTAGATCTAACTCGTTTATTCTTTCTTTCTAATCAATTTTCTACTTTAGCTTTATAAGAAAGGAATTTTTCAAAAGTCTCATCTTTATTTCTTAACAAATATAATTTTGCATTCCTTGAAAAATCATGAATAAAAGTTACATAATATTTTTTTACCACCTCTAGTCTTTGTTTGTTTCAACTCACCTAAATCGATGTGTATTAAGGATAACAGTTTAGCTTCTCAAAGTAGAAAAATATGAATTTGTAGTTTGTTTTGTTTTTGCACATACTTTGCACTTATTAAAAACATTATTTTTAATTCTTGATATTAGCCCAAGATGATAAAGCCTTTTTATGTAGGATTTACTTATATATTCCTAATCTAGCATGCCACACATCAAAAGAATCAATGTAAAACATAGGCAAGAAAGTAGAATGTGTATTATCATTCATTTCAACAATGGTTAGTACAAACAATCCCTAATTATAGTAACCCTTCCCAACGAGAACATTATTCTTTATCATTATGCGCTAGATTTCCTAACAGAGCTATAGAGATCATATTAGCTCTAACGTCAGGTACATACAGAATGTATTTAGTGCTAAGGTCTTTCCACATGTGAGTTTTTGGACAACTTTTCCTTTTCCTAAGACTATGGTGGTTATGGACTTAGCTAGATAGATATGATCTCCATCTTTAAAGGAGGTGAACATGTCCTTGTTTGCACAAATGTGCCTAGTAGCATCTAAGTCTACCGCTCAATTTTTCACATCAAAGATCACAAGGGGTGGGGAGACAACAACAATAATCTCATCATTATCTCCTTCAACCAAATTCACATTTAGCTTAGGAGGATTTCCACCCTTACCATTATTGTTTTTACCAACTTTTTTCCCGCACTGAGCTGCATGGTGACTTGGCTTTCCACAAAAAACAATTTCTTTTCTTCTTGAATTTGAGGTTAGAATCATCAGGCTTGTAATCAAAGTTTTTGTTTCTAGTTTTAGGGTTATACCTCTTTTCATGCAGATTTACTTCTAACAAATTAGAGCCTTTGTTGCCAACTCTTTTTCTTTAGTTGTCTAGATTGCTTTCTAGCTTGTGTCCTTGATCATGGTGTACGTGATTAGGTCTGATAGTGATAATTGCTTTTGCTTGTGCTTTAGTTGTTGTTTATAATCATTCCATGAATTTGGCAGCTTCTCGATGAAGAACTTAACTATGAACTCATTGGCAAATTGATCTTCTCAGCTCGAAGCTCTTCCAGAAGTTTGTGGTATTCATTGATTTGAATTTTTATATCTTTATCATCATCCATCTCTTATCTGTAAAAGTTTCCCACCATAAACTTTTGCTTCCCAGCATTCTCAGTAGTATACTTCATGATCAGTGACTCTAGTACCTTATATGCCTCTTTGTACACACAATAGATATCGAACAAATCATTAGATAAAGTGCTAATGAGAGTGTGTTAGCAAACCTTATTTGCATTCATCCAAGTATTCTTTTGGGCTTGTTCAGCATCTACATGAGGCTTAGGCTAGGTTAGAGTAGTAGCAACTCCATGCATGTTAAGAATAATGTACACACGTTCCTGCCACCATCTAAAGTGCTTTCCATCAAACACATCATTTTTGGAGACATCTGGAAATGGTTTGGGAAGCAACACCATAGTGAAGAAGGAAGCATGAGCAACATTGATGTTAGGATTAGTATTCCAAGTAGCAGCATCATTATGGAACTCCATAATAATTCTTAAGATTGTTGGAAGGTCATTGAAATAACTGGATAGTGAACTAGTTCAAGTCATGGTAGTAGACACTGTCCTTAAGATTTATTCCACTGCCTTAGGTAAATGTAGATACGACACTCTCCACGATTAAACAAACCTCTCCTACAGCAAACAGGATGACATAATAGCAGAAATATAGGTATAACTTAGTAGCAAAGAAATGAGATTGGACACCACACTTGTGACAATAAACATGATTAAATCTTTGGTTTCAAATGTTGGCACAATAAAACACTATTTATACCTTCGCTTATGAATGTTAGAGGCACTTCAAATTGAATTTTTGGACGTAGGCAAGCATTAACCCATGGAAAATGGTCTAAGGACTAATGAAGGAATAATCTCAATTTAATTAGAAATAAAACTTTAACATTCAGTAACCTTCGGCTAATAAAAATAAACTAACAAAACAAAGATTTTCCTTAACTGGAGTTCCAGGTGGGGATCGCTAGTTTTCAACTATGTTTCCCCCCTATGAGCTGTTGTCATGTGTGCGAGATCCTTCTTCTCCTCTAGGCCCATCCACTAGCCCAAGAATATTTATATTCACTTGAACCTCCTCTCTCTTGAGTAATGTGGGACTTTACTTTTAACACACCCACTTATATTCATAACATCATATGCATTTCAACTACCTCTTAATAGAAACTCGCTAACATATGTAATAATCATAGAGATTCTTGGGAATAAAATGAATAAATATTGAAAATAAAATGAATTGGGATTTTATGTTTATAACTAAATTGAACCTCCAACTAATTATTATATCAAATACGGCATGTAGCAGAAAAACAAAGATACAGGAGGAGAGGAACATGAGTGGTGATATCTTACAATGAAATTGCAAAATTATAGTAAGTGAACATAATATCAATAATTACTGATAGTTTTTTTTTAAAATAAAATTTCGGCAATTTTACTCCAATTTAAAAATAAAATCATGAATCGAATCTTTTGAGAAACTTTGCGAACTATTCTTAGTCAAAAGATTACTCAAGATAATCGTGAGATTTTTTCACAAAAAGGGATGCATGGACTTAGACTTGAAAAAGTTATGTAATATGCAAAGAGCCATAAAGATAAGACGGTGTTTGTTAGGAAAGGAAAAAAAATAGGGAAAACCAAAAAAGCATCCTCGACATGGAACTACAATACTGGCCCGGATTATTCTCAGACGTTAAACTATGGAAATTTTAATGAAATTTATGGATGCAATAAAAGTAGGTGGATGGGAAGGACACGGAATTTCGTTTTCTCAATTTCTTTTGACCACTTGAATGAGATATGAAAAGATGTGGTGGTCAAAAAGAACAATGAAAAGATGTGGTGGTCAAAAAGAAATATGAAAGCATGATATGAGAACATGTTTGAATAGGATTCAAACATGTTCGATTTCTTTAAAATCTATTTTCAATAATGCCATCGCAGGCCCCCACCATCCCTTTTATAATCAATCTGTGTTTTGAATTGACTAATAAATTAAGGGGTGTTAATGTTATTTTAAAAAAATGGGTTGTCAAACAACTAACTTCCTGTTTTTTATAATCAATTTGTCTTCTTATTTCATGCCCCGTCCACTTAATATAAAAATTACTTAACTAATTTGGATTGATTGAAAAGGCAAGATAAATAAGCTACTTATAATAAATATGACATAATCTCCCTAAAATAATCCTGTCTACTAATAAATGTCACGAGGAGCATTTTGAATTATGGCTTCATTACTAGTTATCATGGGAAACCTTATCTTTCATTTCTCCTTCATGCTCTTCATGCTTTATCTCATGCTTTGCCCATCTTTATGTCACTCCAATTTTACTTGCGATGAATTGGCGCTTTTGGCTCTCAAATCTTCTGTTAGGGATCCTTACCATCGCTTGGAAAACTGGTCCAGTTCCTCTTCCATATGCAATTGGTCTGGGGTTACATGTGATTCCAAGCATAAGAGAGTTAGAATACTGAGTCTTGCTAAAATGGACCTCAACGGCACCTTACCATCGCAGATTGGCGATATGTCCTTCCTAGTAAAACTTGATCTCAACAGCAACAATTTGTATGGTAAGTTGCCAAAAGAGTTGTTTCAGTTGCAGAGGTTAGAAATTCTGAACCTAAGCTATAATGCATTCAGTGGAGAAATCCCAAGTTGGATGGGAAGCTTATTTAATCTTCAACAGTTGATTCTTGGCAATAATAGTTTTGGAAGTATCATTCCTCCAAGTATATCCAATTTGTCTATGTTGGAGACCTTGGATTTGAGCTCTAATTCTCTCCAAGGATCTATTCCGTTTCATATTGGAAGGCTTCAGCATCTCAAAACTTTGCGCCTTTCTGTGAACAAGCTTTCAGGAATCATACCTCCACCTATTTCTAATATATCCTCACTTGAGCTCATCTCTCTGCCTGTCAACGTCCTACAAGGTATGCCTTGCATAATTAATACTCATCTCGTCCTTAATGTAAAAGCTATTTAACTAATTTGATTACATTAAAGAAGTTAGATAAATTAGTCAATTATAAGAAATGTGACGTATTTTCCTAAAACACCATAATAATTGTCCTTAATATCTTCTCTCTCCTTCCTACTTGATTATGGTTGAGTGAATATCAATAATAGTTTAAAAAAAATGATAAATATGAAAAATATGTCTTATATTTAATACCAATGTTAACTCAACAATTAAATCCTATACTAAAGATAGGAAGAGTATGTGATATAAAGCATTTATTCTGTTTCAAAATTTATAGAACGTTGTCTTCTTCAACATTCATTTTACACCATTCTGTTTATTATATCAAGCACAGTTCATTCCCTTTCCTTTAAGTTACAAATGAGTTAATATGAAAGAGGGGGGGGCGGGAGTACTGTACTGTAGCAATCATGTAATTTTTTGTCCTATTGCAGGACCTATTCCCATAGAAATGAATAAGCTCACAAAGCTGAAAATTATATACTTGGAAGATAATAAGTTGACTGGCCAAATACCAAGAAGTATTGGAAGCTTGATCATCCTTCAAGAAATATATCTTTCAACCAATAACTTACAAGGTAGTGTAAAATTTTTGACTCATCATAATTTGTCACTATGGTTTTCTTTTCCTTTTAAGGATTTTCTCTATACATGTCCTTTTTCCTTTTCCTTACTTTTTTTTGCCAACAACTCTGCACATGCGTCGTTAGGAGCAAATATACATTGATCTTCTTTAATAATATGTGGGAGTTAAAATATATTTATTTAAATGACAATAAATTTTGGTGATCAGCATCCCTTGAAATACATGTCAAGTTGGATGCTAGAATGCAAGGAATTGGGGTAATTATTGACCTTCTATTAGATTTACTAGACAGAATGAGCTTGAATGCTCATCAAGATGAACATCCCAAGCTCATTAGATATTGGCCATTCATATCTGAATTGGACAGTCCAAATTTGATGACTTTTTTATTCTTGTTCTTAAAAAATAATTGTTTTGATTGGCATAGAATCTAAATAAAGGTAATCTCTTAACTATTATTTTTTTTCAAAAATAGTTATTGTTTAAAAAATAATTAATGAAAAATTTTAAATCTAGCAAATCTGATGAGTTTAGGGTGTTTATTACCTTGATAAGCACCTAAACTGGTTCTTTTAGTGGACACACCTCTGGTGACATTCCAAATTTGACTATACCTGGTTATGTATTAAGAAATTTAATAGATAATTAAACAAATTCCTCCCTCCCACAAAAAATATAAATGATAAACAATATTAAAAAGCAGTGTGCATATATATAACTAAATATCTCTTCACTATCACAAAATAGTTATTAAATTACAAGATTCACATGCCCTCACCTTTGTACAGATCATGAACTATCATAAATTTACATATAGAAACTCAATGTCTCTTATCGTGGTCATACTGCAGGAGATATTCCCAAGGAAATTAGCAATATTACAAATGCTAACAAAATATACTTGGATAACAATCAATTGTCTCGTCACATACCAAAAGGCATTGGAAAATTGACTATGCTTCAAGAGCTATCTCTTGCCAACAATAACTTTGAAGGTACGTGTGTGTGTGTTTTTGTCAAACTGAAAGCGCTCTCCAATTTTCTTCAAGAGTTAGTGCTTCTGTAACATACTTCCTCTGATCCTATATATAAGATATAAAAAACTAAATTATGTAGATAATAAAGTTGGTTAAAAATGATTGAAGATAATAAGTATGTAAAAAAATATTTTATTTTTAAGAAATATCCTTATTCATGGTGAGAGTAAAATGAGAGATAGAGAATGAGCAGAAAAATGAAGTTTTTTTTTGGCTTGCAGGAAATATTCCCATTGAAATTAGAAGCCTTACAAATCTGAAAATTATAGACCTATCAGTTAATCAACTATTTGGCCATATACCAAGAGGCATTGGAAACTTGACTGTGCTTCAAGATTTAAATCTTGAAATCAATAATTTGGAAGGTACTTTTACACCCCCAATATAATGTGCTATTATCATTTTTATATTAATATGATATTCTAGGCGTTAGCATCATATCAATAGTGCTTTTCCTTCTTTTCTTTTGTTTTTTCCCCCCATAATGCAAGAGATGTTCATTTATAAATATTTTTTGGGGACTATAATATGAGGACTACTTTTCAATAGTTACATTTCTTGTAAGAGATATAGTGGCTGCATGACTAAGACATTGATAACATATATACAGTACTACTTAAGTAATAACAAAATGAGTAGCATATTGTTCCACGAGAAAACAATTAAGTATAGTAAGCATACAAGTTGTGCATTACAAGTGGCTGGTGTAGAATATTCAATTTCTACGTCCGTTATACAAAGATCAACATGTTGGCAACATAAAAGTTTTTTTTAATTCATAAAAGGTATTATTTTTAATATGTCATCATTTGCTTTGTTATTAAACTACTCTGCAATTAACCAACAATAAAGCTAGCATTCGGAACCAGCAACAGTGAAAACAAACAATATGCATCAAACCAGCAACCAGCAACAATAAAACATATGTGTATCCCGGAAAAAAAAAAACATGTTTTTTTACAAAATCAATAACCAAAGACTAAAATAGTATGAGGTGAAGAAATCTGTAAATTATACTAAAAAAACCAATTATATTCTAAACCATATACAATATCCAGCAACTTAACTAATTGTATTTCACTAGTCGAATGCAATATTTTACTATACCAAGATCAGTTATTGTCCTCTTATACTCATGTTTGTAACGGTTGAATCCAATAGTTGTTCCCCACTTAGCAACACATATCTATCTTTAAGATGTCATTTCATTCCCAGTATTGTCAAGATGAAATATGTCAGGTTTTCTTCATCTCAGATCACTCAAACTGCTCTTTAAACCCATAACATCCTATCGAGGGTCAAATTTCTACTTCTGACATCGGACACTTAAGAGTGTTTATCCAATGCCACATTGAGCTCCACTTATTGGGTTCAGGAGCCCCACCAGGCTCACCACTAACCATACATTAACAGCTCGACATTAGTGATAACATTAGAGAACAATCACTCAATACCGATTATCGAAAATAGGAACATGACATCTTAATAGCTAGACATTTTAATTCTATTCACAGCTTTAGTTTTTTTTAACTGCTTCAAACATTATTTTCACTGGCATTTCAACTAAAATTTGTATTCAGGTTCAATATCTATGGAAATAGGCAATCTTCAACAACTTGAAACGTTATTATTATCTCAAAACAAGTTGAACAAATCTATTCCATCGGAAATTTTCAACATCTCAGCTTTGAAAGTCTTGTCTCTCTCAAACAATTCTCTATCAGGAAGTCTTCCATCAGATTTTGGATATGGCCTTCTTAATCTACAGAGTTTATATTTATCGGGCAACAAACTATCTGGAAGGATCCCAATACTATATCCAATTGTTCCAAGTTAACCATTCTAGAATTAGAGCAAAATAATTTTGAAGGGGTTTTGCCAAGCATAATTGGGCATTTAAGATGCCTAGAAAATCTCTGGGTGCACGATAACAATTTCTCCATAATAGATGATGATTCAAATTCTGAAACTGGCTTTTTTAGCTCGTTGTCAAATTGTAGACATTTGGAAACCCTAATTCTCTCAAAGAATCCATTGCAAATGAAACTTCCCAAGTCCATTGGAAATTTGTCTGATTCTCTGCAGACACTGATGATTGACTTCTGCGGGATTAATGGTAGCATACCATTAGAAATTGGGAACCTGTCTAACTTGGTTCAACTATCTTTTGCTGGAAATGTTTTAAATGGATTAATTCCAACAACAATTAGCAACTTACAGGATCTTCAGTATTTGAATCTCGTGGGCAATGAGCTAGATGGCTTGATTGTTGATGAGCTTTGTGATGTTAGAACAATTGCATACTTATATTTATCTCAAAACAAATTTTCTGGAGCAGTGCCTTCTTGCTTAGGAAATCTTATGTCCCTGCAGGAGCTTTATTTGGGCTCCAATAAGTTGATCTCCGAAATACCTTCTTCCTTTTGAAATTTAACAGGCATATTGAAAGTAAACCTATCTTCCAACAAGTTAGTTGGAAATCTTTCATCCAACATTGGGAACACGAAAGCTCTCATTCTATTAGATTTATCAAGAAATCATATTTCAGGCACCATTCCGACGACCATTGGTGGCTTGCAAAATTTGCAAGTTTTCTCCTTAGCACATAACATAATGCGAGGGACGATTCCGTAATCACTTGGGGATTTGCTAAGCTTAGTAAATCTAGACCTTTCCCAAAATAAGTTGTCTGGTGAGATTCCTAAATCACTAGGGTCAATTACGTCCCTTAAGTTTGTCAACCTCTCATATAACGAACTACAAGGTGAGATCCCAAGTGACGGGTTCTTCAAAGATTTGACAGCTGAATCTTTCATGGTGAATAAAGCACTTCGTGGTGAGCCAAAAATGCAAGTGCCTACATGCAGAAAAGAGGAAAGAAAAAGGTCAATAGCAAAACTGATTTTGCTGAAATTTATACTACCCATGGTTTTGTCAACAATTTTGGTTGTTTCAGGCATTATCCTCTTTCAATGTAAACGAATGAATTCTAGGCATACCATAATGAAACAAGAGTTATCAGCTTTAGGAATGCCTAGAAGGATTTCATATTTTGAAATTTTGGATGCAACCAACAAATTTGATGAGAGTAACTTACTGGGAAGAGGAAGTTTTGGTTCTGTATTTAAAGGAAGGCTTTCAAATGGAACAATGGTTGCTTTTAAAATATTCAATTTTGATTCAGAAGCATCGTCAAAGAGCTTTGAACTGGAATGTGACACGATGCGTAATGCACGTCACTGCAATTTGGTGAAGATCATAAGTAGTTGTTCCAATCTTGATTTCAAGTGTTTGGTAATGGAGTTCATTCCCAATGGGAGTCTTGAAAAATGGTTATATTCTCATAACTATAGTTTGGATTTTCTGCAAAGGTTAAATATAATGATAGATGTTGCATCTGCTTTGGAATATCTCCATTGTAGCTTGCCAACACCAATAGTCCACTGTGATTTGAAGCCAAGAAACATTTTGTTGGATGATAACATGGTTGCTCATGTGAGTGACTTTGGAATTGCAAAATTTCTAGACAAAGGAAAGTCTAGTAAACTCACAGAGACAATACCTACAATTGGTTATGTTGCACCAGGTAATAACCCAACACATTTGCTTCTTTTTTTCCCTTCAATATGAATAATCACGAATTCTTATATAACAAAAAATCTTGGCTCTTGGGTATTTACTTCATTTTTAGTATATGTCCTTAAGGCTTAATCTAAGATAAATATAACTTTTGATCTTTGAACTTTTTCTCAATTATTGATTCTGCCTTTAAACTTTAATCTGAAATAACTTAGAACAAGCCAATTCTTATGAATTTTTTTGACTCGAACTAGCCTAATCCTTGCAAATCTTTACAGCTCAATAAACTATAACGGCTGAATTGATTAAATTCTTATTTTGCAATTTTTTTTATGAGATAGTTGATTTTTTCTACTTGGTAGAATCAAATCATATGCAGAATATGGATCTCTTGGAATTGTCTCAACAAAAATTGATATGTACAGCTTCGGAGTAATACTAATGGAAGTATTCACAAGAAAAAGGCCAACAGAAGATATGCTTGTGGATGGATTGAACTTGAAGAGTTGGGTAAGTGAATCAATGTCGTCCCGTTCACTAACTCCAGTCATAGATTCCAATTTATTACAAGGAGATCATGATGAAAAATATATTGCCAATACTTTGACAACTACATCCACTATTCTTGAATTGGCCTTGAACTGTTGTGCCAACTTTTCACAAAGGCGTTGCAATATGTCAGGGGTTGTGGTATCATTAAACAAGATCAAGAACGTGTTTATTCAAACATGCCATTTAAAGAAATATTGAACCTATTTGCAATTAATTTGCATTATTGTCTATCTCTCATGTTTAGAAAATGCTGGATGCGATACCTAGTAAGAAATTAATGGACATACACTGAAGACAAATATATGAGCTGTAAATTTAATTTATTGTTTTTTTGGATGAGCTGTATTATATGGATTATGAGTGTTTTGATCAATGAGATGTAGGAATCCATATTCTCAAGGTCTCAGAGAAGGTATTGAAGTATTTATGTTCTCTCTCATCATTCCAGTATATTTAGTTCCCTGGCTCTTTTTTGAGGATGTTTCTTGATGCTACATTATATGGTGATTTTTTTTATATTTATAAATCCTTATTCGCATTATTATTTCATATTTTGATTATAATACTTTTTGCAAACAAATAACAAGGGTTATGGGAAAGCACTTATAAGTGAGTTTGACAATTTTGACGAGTTAAAAAATGTCATTCAACAACTTTTAAATAATGTGCTTATCCCTACATTATATATATATATATATATATATATATAAAACTTTGTAATGCACCTACGTAATTGTTCTTTTTTTTTTGTTGTGCGTGTGAATAAACAATAATAATATTATTTCTTTGAAAAAATACATGTTTTCTGTCAAACAAGATTTTTTCTATTAAAAAATTAATATAAAGGTTTATAAACCTGAAATCATTCACCATAATCAATATATTTTATCATATTATTGAGGTGATTGTAAATTTAAATTTTTTTAATGATTACTAATTATTTTTTAGTTTTGCACTACTTCTGTCTCTTTATGCAAGTAAAACGCAGTTGTCAGACTCCTGGATGCCATCAAGTTCGTAGGTGTCTGCTTCTTTTCCTTCTTCTCGTTCCCGCCCTTAATCATTTATTGGGATGTATGGGTCATATATGATCAAAAAGTTGAATGTACAAGCCTTCTAATTGTACAATATGACTTAAAATTTGGATGAGAAATGAAAGAAAACCGCTGTCCAGGAAAATCCCTCTGGTCTATTAAAAAAAGAAAAACATCATCTTGTAAATGAAAATACAATAGGTTGATTACTTCTGCTCCATGGAACCAGCTTCACGAAATAATTTCAACTACATGTAGAATTCTAACATGTAGGATTGTGTTCTCTATAGAGGCAAAGCTAAGAATATTTATTACAAAACTTATTACTTAGGCAACTATTTCGAAACAAGTCCCACATCCAGTATCATAAAAAAACAAGCCAGACGATAAAACTCATTAAGTCGACGCCGGCATGAAACTCAAATGGGGGTACGGGGATGATGGAATATGGCTTTGACAAAGAAACCAACTGCTGGAACCGTCGCTTTTTTGTTCTGGCCACCTGCAATGTTATGATTAGTGAATATTTGAAACACTGAATGTTGTTAGGAGTTTCTCAAGACATGGAGCGTTACACCATTTCATCATGGAAAACTGAAGTTGGAATATAAGAATGGTAGCCTCAAGTGTTACATGCCTTAATACAAACGAATAAACTTAAGAAGCTAATCACATCAGGTTTTAGATAGATCACCGTTTATACCACTGGCCAGTTCTCACCTCATATTCCAATTGAAGTAGTTGCTTCATCTTGTCATCAACTACTATTCGATGAATAGATGCCAAACAGTCGTTCTCAAACCCAAAAGACCCCAATTTATCACGCAGATCTTCACGTTCCATTATTATTGCGTTTGCTGGTTCTGATTTTAAAAATCTCTTAACATGTCAGCTAAGGTTTTGTATTGATCCCTCTGTCCCTTTCTGTAAACCCCAGTTTTGAAATTCATCAATGCCAATGTCCTCTTTTCTTCCTTTTTCATTCTTTCCTATCCTACCCTTGTTCATTTTGTAGGAGTTGGCAAAAAAAAAAAAATCATTCCAGAATTATGAATGGTGTTCTCTGTATTTAAGCATCAAGAACAGAGCAATAACAAGAAGCGAAAACCCAGAATCCTAAAAGTTATGAACCGACAACAGCGAAGCATTCCATGTCAGAATGTGTCGTTGAAGTTAAACTTATCTCCCCATTGATAATGACCCGTTCCTTTCTGCTTGAGGTATTACCATTGATTCTGCCAAATGAGCCATCTTGTTCGATAATAGAAGTTGCGATTGCAAAGGGACTGAATCTGGCCTCTCTGGCACAGGGAGGAGAAAAGAGAGAAGAGGAGGGGGAGGAATTCAAAGAAGAAAATGCCAAGACCGAGTCACTTACATCCGAAGGTGGTCGTTTTGGGGATGAGCTAGCAGTTGTGATCCGGCGTTGCATATTCTTCTTGCTCATGTTTTTGTTGTACTTCACTTTAATTGTAGCATCTCCCCTTCTTACTACAAAAATTAAATAACTAATTTAAGAATATTAGGGTTAATATAAGTTTTTATCTTCAAATTTACTCTTATTTTAGTTTTTATTCCCCAACCTATGATTTGAAATGTGAAGAACCAAACTAAAATGAGAATAAATTGAAAGAGAAAAGATTATATTAATGCTAAATATGATATTACTGTGGCATGCGCGAATTTCTTGGTCATTGGACTGCATGAAATGAAGGAAACTATTTACAAGATATTCATTATGTAAAGTTCTTGAATCACACCTAACCATGTATTGTATTTTTTTTTAAAATTCTTTTGATCCTATTTATAACAATCTTAAATTGCATTAACTCTTTAAAATATAATAACTTTCCAAATTAATATCTACTCAATATAGACACCTTTAAAAAATAATTATCTATATTGTAATAAATAAAGGACAAAATAATATATTCATATTAAAAACTTAATGAGGTGACATATAAATAGAACAGAAAAATATTTTTTCTCTACTTTATAAGTAGGACTAAAGGAGTTTGACCATTTGTATACAAGTAACCTGATGACCTAATGGTACTCAAGACCTTCTTTGAAAACTTAAAAATAAGAACTCCTACTTTTTTTTTTTTTGGGCCAACAGGACTCACACATGTCATTGACCAAAAAGTCCCACAATCCATATATTACAGATCATCCATATCAAAAAGCATATCCATAATTTCTCGCTAGGCGTTGCATCCATACATTTCTAAGTGACGACAACGCAAATTAATTACAAATAAGTTTAATATTTGTCTAAGTGACGTCTTTGCATAAACATGTCCTTGATCTTGTTCAATGGTGCCACAACTTGTGATATATTATATAAACATCTTATTTTTTCCGGGCCCACTAAGTAATAAACAACAACATTAAGAATAATAGAAAATTTCTCTTTGATTCATTTTTGGAGGCCAAGTTTTAAAATCTTCCCAAAAAAAAAAGAAAAATCAAGTAAGAATATCTTTTCTACCATAATGGATAATAAAAATAGAAGATGTGGTTAATTGTTGATTGACCTCTAAATTAGAAAGTATGGGGTGGACACATTAAAGAGAAAAATCAGAAAATAAAAATAAAAATAAAAATCTTTTTTTTTTAATTTGATTGGTTCCTGAATTGGAAATATTCTTTGGAGCCACAATTATGGAAAGAATAAAAACAAAAATTAAAATGAAAAATGACAAATTAATAATGATTTGGTTCTTAAATAGGAAGTAAGATTATGAGTCATAATTCAGAAAAAATAAAAAATAAAAATAAAAAAGAAAATGAGAAATCCTAGCTGAAGTTTATAAATAGGAGGGTAAAGGTTGAGGAAAAACTAACAAGGTTTATGAGAGAAAAGACAACAAGTGAGAAGGCTTCGTCTCAGTAGGATCACATCATGTGTATGGTTCTTTCTTTTCTCCTTTGATGATTTTTGTGCATTCCGTGCTATTTCCTTGCTTCTTGGGTGTTTAACAAAAATGTAAGTATTCAGAAGATAGGCAATATAACGGAAGAGAATAATTTGGTTGTGAACTTATTTGTGGCTTATGACTCACCTTTTTTTAGCAAGCCATAGTTGGGGTCCTCTCTTTTTCTATTCTATTGTCTTTGATTTAATAATTTTATGATGAATTGTTTTCAGTTGATCTTTCTTCTTCCTCTCAAAAGTGTTTCCTTTTTTCAGATCTTTACCATGTGAGGTTTTAAAAACTCTACAAGTATCCAGATTTATTAGTAAACCGTGTAAAATTATGAAAGTTTTCGCAAGTATACGAATGGAGTTGTACAAATTTTCTTTTTAAAATAAATAAAAAAGAATTAAAATAATTTTGGCCCAATGTTCATAAACCAAAATAAAATAAAAAGTCCTCTTTTCAATTAAAAAAATAACATATTTTCAAATCAATGTTTTCTTTAGAGCCATGTAAAGTTTTTAGAACCTTCATAAGCTTGAACAATTATTTTTTCCATATAAGATTGTAAGAATCTCTGTAGGAAAATCAAAAGCTCTTTCAAAATTTTTTTTCCCAAATACCAACAAAGGAATTGATTTTATCAATTAAAAGTTACAAACCAACAAGAAATATCTTTCTTAAATAAAATAAATAAATATTTTCTTAAAAGATATCAATCAAGTGACACTTATTTTTACCCCCAAATTACATAGACTTTGACTTCTCTAACAGGTACATAGGTTCTAGGCTTTTATTCTAGGTCAAGTTGGCTTTGTAAATAAATTATTTTTATTTTATTTTTTCATTTTTGTAAATAAAATTTTTTTCTTCTTATTTTTTTATTTCTTTTTTAGGGTGATTAAAATATAATAAAAAGCCATATTAATTTTGAATAGCTTCATGAATGGGTGCTGCTTAATACTTTTTAATGCACAATCGACTCTTGGACCCTCACAGCCATCCTTTTTAAATTTTGGTGGCAACTCTTTTTTCTTGTTTCAACCCCAAAATTGTCTAATCACATGTTTCAAGTGGTCTTAGCAACTTTCATTAGCATTATTTTGTTTATCTATATGATAATTCTCATTTTCTTGCAGTTGGTCATACATCTTCATCCATTATGCCCTCCTTCTTGCATATGTAGCTCGTTCTTCAGATATATTGACAAATTTTCTTGGAATTCCCTCGTATGTGTCACAATACCTTCCTTCAATTATTTCTAGATTTTGCCTGCTCTTTTGCCTCCTGTCTCTATATTCATGTGGCCAGACTTAACTTTTACATTCCGATTAAATCTAGCACACTTGCTAGAGGCTGATACTGGCATTTTGGTTGCAGATGGGAAAGTGCAACTTTTTTTTTCATTGGTTTTCGGAAGCCTATGCTTTCTTGGAAAGTTGGTGTGCATTTTATCAAACTTTTCTCTTTTCTCGTGTCAACTCATATCCGTTTGATCAGGTTTACTCATTCTCGTGTAGTTTCCATGTTAAAATTGATACCATTGTCTTGCCAATAAAAAATGATAGTGTATTATTTTTTTTTGGCCTGAGAAAATGACACCGTATCATAATTGAGTACAAATGCAAAAATTTGTCAAACTACAGTATTTGTAGTAGTTCAATCCAGTCATATTACGTCAATGGTCTCAGAACATCAACGTATATTTAATTATGAGACCCTATGACCCTTGTAGATAATCCTTTTTTCTACTGTAATTCTTTTTGGGAAGAAATTTCGGTTTCAGCTTCATATTATTCATGCTTCTGGCTAAGCAGTACATATAGGCCATAGTATAGCAGTCTTGACTGATCAAATAAGAAGAGATAAAAGAAAAAAATAAAGAGTTTTAAAACTTGAAATTAATGGGGATAAGAATAGAAAAAATAACAGAAAAGATGAGTAAAGGTCGATGTAATATTCACAAGAATATCACAAGATATTTGTCATGTTTAAATTCATAAAATATTATCAGAGGGCTTGATTAATTATCCCAGATAATAAAATTTTAGCAAGATCGGTCGAATGCATTTGGAAAAGGAACCAAAGGAAAATGAGTAGGTTCTCTGTGAATAATTACATTTCTTTTAGTAATAGTTTTTCTATTTCTAAGGGTAGCTATGTCAACCAAGAATTCTTCTCAATCCGTAGCCAGCGCTTTATTGGTGCAGTTAGCGGGATTCTTGTCTTTGGAATCATTAGTTCCTTTGCAGATCTTTTGGTAAGATTCTCAAATCAAGAACTATGAACTCATGCTTTAGTTATACAGTACTTAATCCTTCCATGTGTGAAATAAAAATCTTCTGCAAGAATATATGACTGAAAGTGACAATTGAGAATGAATATTCATTCATGTTGTGGTGGAGATTGAATTTTCATTCTTAGGCAGCGGCAAGTGGGGAACTGCACTGGATGCTCTTCTTAAGGCCAACTTCCAAGCAGCTCCTATGAGTTTACCTATTATTGCGCTTTCTTTTGTTTACCAGGTAACATCACCAATCTGAAGTTGTTGAACAACTTGAGATAATCGTAACGCTTTGGTATAACTTATCCAGAATGTGGTGCCTGTTCTTTGCACGAATCTTGCAGGGGACTTATCAAAAGTAAGGTGACAAATTTCACTGTCATGCTTTGTTTTGTTCTGTTTTGTTTTGTTTTTTTGGTATTTGCTAATACTTAAAA